GCGTGTGTCTAATCCTTAAAAGATTTTAGGGTTGCCTCTTCAGAGGGGGGAATGTTGGAGGGGAGGGAGTGGGCATGTATTTGATCAAAACACCTTATATACATGTATGAAATTCTCAATAAAGTTTTTGTAAAAGTTAAAAAACAAATTTGCTCCAAGGAAGCAAGGCCAGAACAAAACAGAAATCATGTTTGACAAATGCCACCCAGAGATGACAGCTATGAGGAAGGTACACTAGGAGGAGCCTTGTGTGGGCTTAGGTTACTGGGAAAGGATTTCTGATGTTAAAATCTCAGTCCTATCAGAAGAACCAAGTAGCAATCCAAATAACCCTGTGAGACAAAGGAATGGAGAGGTAACATGGGGTTCTGGAACAAGTTCACAGAAAACAAACAGCAAACTTATGCTCCACACTTAGTATGCAGCCTTCTCCTCTTACATAGAGCCCTTGAAGAATGTAAGGGCTCTTTGGCATTAATTTACTATGTGATAAAATATGCATGTCTAACCATAAATATTTTTAAAGAAAATATGTGCTAGTCAGTCTTTCACAGACATAAATTTTCTGTTCCCAAGCTCCATTCCAAGCCAGTACAAATATCACGAGCAGCTCCAAAGGAAATGCATTGTGGCCTTGGGGTGTTGTTTTCTCATATACACAGCTTCTGTGAATCTGCCAATTATATATTTCTATAAATAGCAACACACACGCACACAGACACACACACACACACACACACACACGTCTCAGCTGCTTACCTGAAATTTCGAAGAAGGGTTATATCTGCCTTCAGAATGGGAATGCATTGTTGCAGAGCTTCCTTGTCTTTGATGACATGCTTGGGGGTGCCTCCAAAGTGCTGAAGGTAACTTTGGACTTGTTCTTCAGACAAACCATCAACTTCAGGTATTTGAAGCTGGGATGTTGACTTGAAACATCAACAAACACAAGGCTGATCTTTCATAAAACACACTAGCCTATAAATTCAAATCTTACCTCCTTAAATCAAGCGGAGAGAATAAAATGCTAGTGAAACTAGCACCACAGTGCCACCAATTAGCATTCCAGACTTAGACTCCTGGGTCAGTCAAGAGCTTTGTGCAGCAGAAGCAGGGAGGTCAAAAAGGGAGGAACAGGGAACAGCAGGAGTCTGAGTTAAAAGACCACGGTGGTTCCGAAAGTATAGCATCATTTTAAGGATTATTTCCTGGCTCTGACTGGCTCCTATCCTGAAAGTTAAGTAAGTTCCCAGCTGACCCAACTTGAAAGAGAAAACAGGGAAGGTCAGCACTAGCTGAGAGGTACAGAGGCAATAGACAGTAATACAATCATTAGGAAAGAGCTGAAGCTCACTGCAGGGAAGAGAGAGACACTGAAAGATCTCAGGAGTTTTCAGCAGCACACAGTATCCCCACCTTTCCTCGGCTGGGCTGAAGGAGAGCAGTGGCCCAATTCTTAGAACCACATTTCCTTCTTCTCCACTCCCTTCTCCAAAACATTCCAGAATACTTACGTGGGGAGCAGTTGCACTGGATATAAATAAATGCAATGGCTCCAGCTTATGTTTCTCCTTCAGGTACAGTGCAGTCATAAAAGCAATGTAGGATCCAACACTAAACCAGAGGACAGACAAATGAGACAGATACTGTTCCGCAGAGTTTAGGATAGTGCCAGTGTCATAAACACAGCAATGAAGCGGTGACAGTCAAAGCTCATTGGTTAATAACTCTAATTTGTAGTAGGTATGTGTTTGATAACTAAAGTCAACATAAAAAGTGTTTCAGGGATAGGAAGTGGTTTCAGTCAGTAAAGCACTTGCCTCATACATTTGAAGACTTGAGTTCTGATCCCCAGAAACCATGTAAAAAGTTGGGTGCCTATAATCCCAGCAATGCAAAATGTGAGACAGAGACAGGAGGAGCCCTGAGAGATCATGGCCCAGCTAGCCCACACATGCCAGGCATACACATATACATGTACTCACATATATGAATGCACATACATATACCTATACACATAGATTACAGGACCAGCCAGTTATGAATTGAAACCTCCAAATGATGAGCCAAGACAAGCTTGCTTTCTCTTTAAATTGATGGTGTTGGGTATCTGGCTCCATTAGTGCACAGCTGACCTACGCACAGAGTGCCTTGAAATTAATTTATACTTCCTTTTCTCCCTTAAAGATGTAGATCACTTTGTCCTTTATAGTATAGGGCAACAGTTCTCAAAGTGTGGTCTGGAGACACTTAGGATTTCTGAGACCCCATCAGATGGCCCATGAGGTCAAAGCTATTTTCAGTATAATACTAAAATTTTGCAAGATGGGTCAACAGGTTTAAAAAAAAAAAAGTACTTGCTAACACAAGCCTGAAAGCCTGAGCTGAATCCTTAGATCCCAGGGTGGAAGGAGAACTGACTCCTGAAAGCTATCTTCTGACTTCCACATTCACACAATGGCATGTGTGTGCCTGCACTCTTGAACAAACATTATACACACATGCTAACAGTAAATAAAAGAAAACTTCTTAAATTTAAAAATTAACTGTTATTTGCCTTTTAAAAATATCTATTTTATTTTTAATTATGTGTATGTGTATGTGAATGTAGGTTTGCATAAGTGCGTGCAGGCACCCAAAGAAGAGGGCGTTGGAGCCCCTGGAGCTGAGTTACAGGTTGTCAGCCACTGGACATAGGTGCTGGGAACTGAACTCTGGTCCTGTGCAAGAGCAGTGCACATTTTTTACTGCTGAGCTGTCTCTTCAGCCCCTACCTGCCTCTCTACTCCCAAACTCTCAGGAGTGCACAGAAGGGCTTTTTTTCAGAGATTATATGACATGGAAATTGCAACAATTTGAATGCAGAAACAGAAATAGATTTTAGCCGTCTTCTTTATGCCAGACATTAAACAGATTTGCGACAGTATAACATAATGCTATTCTTCTTATTACATTTTTTAGGGGCAAATATAGTTTCTTTCATAAAAAAAAACATGTTATGTCAACAGTGTATAATGGCTTGTTAGCTTCATTTTTAAATAAGCTACTAATTAGGTAAATTAAAATGTTCTTAACTGGGGCTGGAGAGATGTCTCAGCGGTTAAGAACACTGGCTGTTCTTGCAGAAGGCCCAGGTTTAAATCCCAGCACCCACATGGCAGCTAACAACTGTCCGTAACTCCAGTTCCAGGGGATCCGACAGCCTCTTCTGTCCTCCGCAGGCATTGCATGACATGGGTGCACTTACCTACATGCAGGCAATACACACATACACATAAAATAAAAATAATAAAAAATATTTTTAAAATGTCCTTAATTGTACTTTCTTTAGTTGTACATGTTGACAGATAAATCACATTCATGCAAAAGCTCTTTGAGATCTTCAACATCTTAAAAGTCTAAAGGAGGTAGAGTATAGCATAGTGGTAGAGAGAGATTCGATCTCCAGTGCTACAAAAAATTAAATAAATACGATGAAAGCCCAAAGGAGTACTGGGGCCAAAAGTGTATAATCTGCTCTAGATGTTATGCAGGCAGATTTTATAAACAAAGTTCCCCAAGATTATTAATTTTTAGATTGTATGTTTATAGCTGGGCAAGGTGGTGCGAATATGTAATCCCAGCATTCAGGAGGCAGAGGCAAGCAGATCTCTGTGAGTTTGAGACTAGCCTGGTTTACATAGTGAGTTTCAGAATAGCCATGGCTATAACCTGTCTCAAAAAAAACAAGCAAGCAAATAAAAATTATATATTTTTAGATCTTATGAAAGAAAAGGTCAGTTGCATTCCCAATGCTTGATGGAGTGTGAAGTGTAGATAACGTGGAAATACATATCAAGAACAGTACCAGTGTGCCTATCACTTAACCTAAATTCTAGGAATTTATCCTAAGAAAGCAATAAAGTATTTGGACTCAATTTTCCTTAAGAATGTTCATTGAAGTATTGATTATAACAGAAAAATATATGAATCACTCATATTCACAAATGAAGATTTATAAGAAACCATAAAGCAAGTGACAGGTTATAAAAGATGTTCACAGCTATATTTAAGTGATAAAATTCAGATAAAGGATAAAAGAATGCATCATGTAGAAATAAATATTAAGGAACTGGAACCACAGTAAAATTCTAAAGTATTATCTGGGTGCTAAGACGTGGAGTACTTTTTAAAATATTTTACTTAATATTCATACATGCATATGATGTGTTTAGATAAAATTCTCCCCATTCCCTCGTCTCCTCCCTTCCAATTTTTCCCCAACCCACTCACCACTTTTTCCTCCCAGCTTCATGTTCTCTCTCTCTCTCTCTCTCTCTCTCTCTCTCTCTCTCTCCCCATTTAGTGTTGCTTGTGTGTGTGTGTGTGTGTGTGTGTGTGTGTGTGTGTGTCCATCTAATGGAGTGTGGGTAGCCTCTCAGAGCCTGCATCTCTGAAGAAAATAGTTCTCACTCCCCCTAGTAGCCATCAATTACCAAGAGATCCTTAGTACATTTTACTTCTCAAGTTTTGCTTTGCTATATTTATAAAACTTACACAATATAGAATACAGTTGCCAAGATTAATGAGTCCTTAGTATTCGCCAGTTCCTATAATCACTATTCATTTAATCTCCACAGGTAAGAAGGAGAAAACTAATTCAGAAGCCTAAGAAATCTAAGGTCATGGTCATATGGCTTCTAAGAGGTCTAAAGTTGGGTCTATGTCCTTGGGAAATATATACTATTTGCACACTTTTTATTTGAAAAATGAACAGAAGTTGCTGATAACGTCTTTGTTTTAGGTATAATTACTGTATCAACTGGAAAACTGTAAAAGTTATGATTGGAAATAATTATCCAGCATTCTAGTTAGCCAACACAAAAAGTGTGTATCTCACAAAACACAAAGCACATTACCCACGCACCTGTGATTTAAGAAACTCCCTAGGGCCTTGAACATGCGAGAGACATACTCTACTGCTGAGCTACATCCTAGATCCCATACACATCTTTTACAACAAAATTTAAATACCTGTGGCCAAAAAATGCAAACGGTTTATCCTGGATGACCGGCAGCAGAGCAGAAGCAATTTCATCAGCTATCTGGCAAATGTCATTTGCAAAAGGTTCTTGAAGTCGACTTTCTCTTCCAGCCAGTCTCACAGAATGCACTAGAGATTGAGAAATGAGTTAATACACACATAGATGAGTAAGATACTGCGATGTTGTTCTATGTACAAGGTCTGAACAGTTTCGAAGAAGAAAATAATCTTGGTAAAACTGGGCATGGTGGATGTGGTGGCCAAGCTTGGTTGTTAACTTGATTTGTATCTGGCATCCTCTAAGAGTCATGCTTCTAGGTGGATCTGTGAAGTCTGTATTTTCTGGTAAAAATTAACTGGGGAGGAAGACCTTCCTTCAGAGTGCCAGCACCTTCTGTGGTGGCCCAGATACAAAGGGGTCTGAGGGAAAGCAGGGCTGCTTTTTGCCTGTTCACCTTTGCACCTTACTGGTGACTGTGTCTACCCTGTCGCTGCTCCTGCTGCTGCCGTCCTTTGATGACATTGCAACTCAGCTTTCTAACATGGGCTAAAGACCAGCAGTTCTCCAGGCTTCAGTACCAGATAGGGACTGCTGAGGCACATAGTCTCATGGATCAAGGAGCTACTTGGTTCTCAGCCTCTCCAGAGTGAGACAGTCATTATTGGACTACCCAGTGCATATCAAGAAAACCAATCTAATAAATCCCCTTTGCAATACACACACACACACACACACACACACACACACACACATACACACACACACACACACACACACACATTCAACCTAAGGATTCTATTTGTTTAGAGAACCCTGACTAGTGCAAGGGTGCAGGGTATACACCTATAATCCCAACACTTGGGAGATGGAAGCAAGATCAGGAATTCAAGGCCATCCTTGGCTACATAGCAAGTTTGAGGCCAGCCTGAGCTGCATGAGACTCTCTCAACAAACAACCCAATGAGGTAAAAGTTTTAGGATTTAGTGGCAGTAAGAAAAGCACTAGTAGGGCTGGAGACATGGCTCAGTGGTTAAGAGCACTGCTCTTGCAGACTCAGGTTTAATTCCCAGCACCCACATGGTGGCTAACAACCACTCACAACTCCAGTTCCAGGGGAATCCAGTGCCATCTTCTGACCTTAGCAGGCATTGCATGACACAGGTGAACTTACATACATACAGGCGATACATTTATATACAAAAAATAAAAACACTAAAATATTTTTAAAAACAATAAGAAGGAAACGGAATATTCCAGAGATGCTATGCATTAATGAAAGGGTTGCTTTGGCAAACACTACGTCAGAATAAGATATCAGGTGTCAAGGATGACCAAGGGAGTCAGGAGTCAAGGGAACTGGAAACAACCAGATGTCCATCAGCTGATGAACGCATAATGGAGGTATGGTACATATACACAACGAAATAGCATTCAGCTCTTTAAAAACTTTTTGAAAATTGCAGGTAAATGGATGGAACTGGAAACAATCATCCTAAGTGAGGTGACCAGACCCAAAAAGACAAATATCGAATGTTCTCTCTCATAGCTGGATGACAGCTTTGAAATTTTAGATATGCATGTTCAATTTTAAAAAATATTTTATTTATTATTTTTATTTTATGTGTATGAGTGTATTGCCTGCATGTATGTGAGTGCACCCATGTCATGCAATGCTGAGGAGGTCAGAAGAGGGCTTCGATTTCCCCTGTAACTGGAGTTAAGGATGGTTCGTAGCTGCCATGTGGGTGCTGGGAATCAAACCTGGGTTCTCTGCAAGAGCAGTCAGTGCTCTTGACTGCTGAGCCATCTCTCCAGCCCCAAGATATTCATGTTCAATTTTTAAAATCCAGAGAGATCGGGCCAGGCATGGTGACACATGCCTTTAATCCCAGCACTCGGGAAGCAGAGGCAGGTGGATCTCTGTGAATTCAAGGCCAGCCTGGTCCACATAGTGAGTTACAGGCCAGCTGGGGCTACAGGGAGTCCCTCTCTCAAAAAAAAAAATCCAGAGAGATCAAGAAACTGATAAATGGCCATGGGTGTGTGCGGGGGTGGGGTGGGGGTATGTGCATCTTCCTGGGAGGGAGGTAGGATGCAGTGATATAATAGAGTTAGAAGGGTTAAATGGGGTGGGGAATGGAAAGGTGGGCAGAAGAGGGAGTGTAGGGAGATAACTAACACTAAAGGCCTTTAGAAAAAGCCATATGGAAACCTAGCACCATAGAAAATATGTAAGGTATATACATATGTATTATAAATAGAGATTTAAAGGAGTTACCATATAACAGGGGGACATTGCTCCCTACTAACCATGGAGAATACAAGTCTAATGACAATAGATTTCATGTCAGAGGCTGTGCAAGCTGGAGGACATTACTGGGGAAGATAATTATAGAATTCTATGATTTGTAATGATATATTTCTAATGTGAAATTTAAATATTATTCAGCTTCTCAAAACCTGAGCAAATTCAGTGCAAGAAGGTTTGCCATGAAAGAAATATTAAAGGAATGTCTTCAAGTAGAAATTTTAAAATTCCAGATGGGGGTGAGCTGGAGAGATGGTTCAGCAGTTAAGAGCACTGGCTGCTCTTGCAGAGGACCCAGGTTCAATTCCCAGCACCCACATAGCAGCTAACAACCATCCATAACTCCAGTTCCAGGGAAATACGATGCCCTCATTTGATCTCTGCATGACATGGGTACACTTACATACATGCAGGCAATACACTCATATGGAAAAGATAAAAATAATAAAATATTTTTTAAATGCCACGAGGAAATTTGGACTTTAACAAAGAATCATTTAAATAAATAAAGATATTTTTTCTCATTGAAAGCCCACAAAGATAATTGGAGATTTAAACACTCTTCTCTTAGAATTAAGAATGCGTGGAACTGTAGAGATAGCTCAGTAAGTAAAGTTCTTGCCTTAGTAAAGATGAGGATCTTGGGGCTGGAGAGATGGCTCAGCAGTTATGAGCACTGGCTGTTCTTGCAGAAGACCTGGGTTCGAATCCCAGCACCCACATGGCAGCTAACAACTGTCTGAAACTCCAGTTCTGGGGGATCCAACAGCCTCTTCTGTCTACTGAGGGCATTGCACCACATGGGTACACTTACCTACATGCAGGCAACACACATATACACATAAAAATAATAAAATATTTTTTTAAAAAGATGAAGGTCTAAGTTTGTTCCAGAACTCATGTAGAAAAGCTATGTGTAGTGGCATATGCCTATACTTGCAGCACAGAAGAGGCAAAGATAGGTGGATCCCCAGGGCTTTTTGGTCAGCCAGCCCAGCCTATTAGGAGAGCCTCAGACCAGGGAGAGATAGCCTAGCCTACTAGGTGAGCCTCAGGCCAGGGAGGGGTGTTGTTTCAAAGAACAAGGTGGATGTATCCAGAGAAATAACACCTGAGGTTTTCTGGCCTCCATATACAACTGTACACACATGTATACATGTATTACATGTATGCATGAACACTACACAGAGAAAGAACTAAGAGCTCTTTTTTTCTAATTTTATTTATTATTTTTATTTTATGTGTATGCGTGTATTGCCTGCATGTAGGTAAGTGAGCCCGTGTCACAATGCCTTCAGAGGACAGAAGAGGCTGTCGGATCCCCTGGGACTGGAGTTATGGACAGTCGTTAGCTGCCATGTGGGTGCTGGAATTCAAACCCAGGTCTTCTGCAAGAACAATCAGTGTTCTTAACTGCTGAGATATCTTTCCAGGTCCAAGAACTAAGAGCTCTTGATAGAAGTATCTATAAAGTCATTAAGGCTCTGGAAGGCAAAATAAACAGTCAACCAACTTGAGAGGGTGGGTTCGGGCCTTCATTGGGATAGGTGCTCGGGACTCAGCAGACAGCCAGAGAGTGTGGGGTTCTGGTCTCCCTCAGGCCTCCAACTACCAGAGGGCCTGAGAACCCAGGGGACAGCCTGACAGGCCCCAGACCCTGCCTCCATGTGGTGGTGAGCTTCTCCTAAGTGTGCCACACCATCCCCCTACCTGGGATTTTGTAAGGCCCCTCTCAAGGCCCCAGGGCAGATATGGCTTTGGTAGGGTAAGGCTGAGATCCTAGCAGACAGGCTGAGAGGGTGCATTCGGACCTCTATTGGGGTAGCTGCTCAGTGGGAGCTCAGCAGACGCCAGAGTGTGCGGGGTTCTGGCCTCCCTCTGGCCTCCAACTACTGAACTATATTAGCAACTTAACCTAAGTTACTCCATCTTGCTCAGAATAGCTATTTTAACAGTAACCTCTTTTCACTTATGGGAAATATTTAAAAAGAGACAACAGCCTTGAGTTCTAAGAAATAGCTCAGTCACAAACCAGTGGAATGTGCTAATCTCAGACATTCTACATCTGGCTAACTGCTTGTTTTCACTCCTGTAATTCACTTGCTGTTTTAGGTCACCCTGACACAGTATAAGCCCACCCTGTTATTGTCTGACCACCCAGTAACTGCTGATTTCAGCTTTCTTACTATACTTGTTATGGCTAGGAAGTTGACTAATTTTAAAATTACAAAGTTGATTGCCAAATTATATGACTATATCACTTGTCTGTATAATGATTGGTTGTTGATTAATAGATTCAAAGTTCTGCTATGTTGTACAAACCTGATTGGTTCACAAGTGTCCTATTTAACTAATATTTCTGTAATCCTATAAAAACTCTGACTTGACAATGATCAGGGCTGTGTCTGCTCCCGAGATAGACAGCCTGCCCGGTTGAAATAATAAACATTTACCTTGCTACTTTTCTTGAAGTGGTGCTGGTGATTTTTTTGCAAACTCTGACATATAACAACTACCAGAGGGCCTGAAAACCCAGGGGACAACCCGGCAGCCCCCCAGGATCCTGCCTCCATGTGGAGGTGAGCTTCACCTAATTGTGCCATATCATCCCCCTACCTGGGATTTTGTGAGGCCCCTCCCAAGGTCCCCCAGGGCAGATGTGATGGTTTGAATGAAAATGTCCCTCATAAGCTCTAAGTATTTGGACACTTTGTCCCCAGATGATGGCACTGTTTTGGGAAGTTTTAGAAGGTATGGCTATCCTGGAAGAAGAATGTCACTGGGGGGTGGGCTTAGAGAGTTCTTAAGCCTTCCCAGAT